CTTCCATTAAACAGACGCCCTGAGAGCAGAAATCGACCAGGTGAACCCGCGATTCTGTGTCTGAGTAAGTGCTACTAGATCTCGTTTCTTTTTCTATTTTTGTTCATCTCCAAATCGACCTGGAAGATGGTAAAAGCTCATTAATTTGAACCCTGCTAATTTAGAATATGGAGCCTTTCCTCCACCTTCACCATGAAGAAGGAATTTGAGAAGCAAATTAACAGTGTGAACATAATTAGAAAAGACGAGTCTTGTAGAGCTGTTAGGTACCTGGAGATGATCCAGTCCTTTCCCTTGGCGGGTGATTTCTTTTCAAATGAAGAAGTCGAGGCTCAGTGAGTGTTCGAGGCTCCTCCAAGCTTGCAGAGTGGGACTGTTTACCCTCGTTAAGGACACCAGCCCAGTTCATGGAGTCCTGTTTGTTTGTGAAAGACACAGGCGCTTTATTAGCTGTGGGTTCCTTTTACTATGTGGACTTCACGTATTAAAAGTGCATTTAAAAAAATATTCTGCATTTTAGGTTTTCACTAATTATGACTGGCCTTCTCCCAAGTTAGTTTGAGCTATTTTGGTGAGGTTTTATAGTTATTTAATAAGAAAAGCTTTTTTAAAACCTCATAAAGCCTTCTGTACAATTCATTCTAACCAACACCCCCTCTTACAATTATGTCACTAACAACTTCTTTTTAAAAGACCAGAACTTTTGTCTATTCATGTTAACCTTAAAAGCAGCATTCACCCTGAACCCCTGAGAAACAAGGAGAAGTGTAATACTTTATAAGATCGAGGCAGAGCAAATGAAAAAAATGGGTGTGAAAGCGTTCTGTGCATTGGGGAAGCATACACGAATGCTTTGTGTTTTTCTTAATTACCGTCTCTGGCCTGGGGAGCCCCCAAAGAGTGGTCAAAATATATTTATGGATGCAAATGCAACATTTCCTTGGAGACGCCCCAGGGAATAGGCTTTTTTCCCCTGTGATTTTAAAAAATAAACGAGAAGCCAATTTATTAATTTAAATCAAACTGTAACTGCCACAAGGACTGGAATATTCTCATTAGCACATCAGCACGTCCTCTCTCTGGAGTCAGGCCCATTAGGGCACCAGACTGCAATCAACAGATTATTTAGTGAGCCCAGGTTCAGAGCACCGGTGAGGTGGACAAAATTGCAGTGTGTTTCCTTGACCTTGGGACTTGAATTCTCTGCCACAGCCGTGGCCACCAAGAATGGAACACTCCCAGTATTTGGGGCCCGGGGGGAAGAGGGGCTTCTGTCTCCTTCCCGAGTATTTAATGCATCCTTAACTCCAATTTCTCGGATTGTGGAAGATTAAAGCTTATAAGCTTATTCATAAAGCCAGTTCTGTACTTGATAGAATATGCTGCTGCTGGTGGTGGTCATGACCATGACCATGATGATGCTGGTGATGGTGGTGATGACACCACAGTGGTGGTCATAACGGCAGTGTTTCTAGTTGTTAACCTCTCCTTGCACGCTTTCTCTGTTCCAGGTACAATTCTGGGGCTTTCTATACTTTATTTGAATCATCACAACCCTATAACGTAGAAACTCCACGTGACAGATGATGATGCCAAGGCTCCGAGAGGTTAATAACTTGCCTTAGGTCACACCTGGCAAGTGACAGCAACAAGAGATGACCCCCCCGCCCTCCCCCATCTCATGCCCTTACTCCCTTCACTGCCGCCTGGCACAGTGCTCTAAGTCCCCATCTGCCAAGGCCGTTAAGACTCCTGGGACACGTGCTGCTTCCCTTACGGTGACTCAGGGCTGGAAGCAGTGCAGGTCAGGCCCCCAACATTTGCCAGTAAGCCCGAGGTCAGGAGACAGGAGACTGCAGTTCTTTTGTTTAATCCCCAAGGTCCCCTTCTTCTTGCGTTTCCTCGAGGGACCTTATCTCCAGCTTGACACACGCTGACAGGTGGCTCCCCACCTCTCACAGCCCACTGACCGCACATGTTGAGACCAGCTCTGTGTTTTCACATGCAAGAAAAGACAGAGGGCAAAGGATTTCTATTTTCAGCTGCCAGGATCTCAACATGAGCCTATCAGGGCTTGTTGAGTCTGAAAGCATTTCCAGTTCCCTTCTCAGAAAGCAGTGCTTTTGACTTTGGGCCACCAGTGCTCCTGTTGTCTGGGGTAATGTGGCATTGAATTGCTCTTGTGGAAGATGGTCAGTGTCGGCTGTAATGAGCAGTATCATTCCAACAGAGCTGGCCCCTGCCTCCCTCTTTTTTTTTTTCTTTTTTTTAAGATTTTGTTTATTTGACAGAGAGAGACACAGCGAGAAGAGGGAACGCAAGCAGGGGGAGTGGGAGAGGGAGAAGCAGGCTTCCCGCGGAGCAGGGAGCCCGATGCGGGGCTCGATCCCAGGACCCCGGGATCATGACCTGAGCCGAAGGCAGACGCTTAACGACTGAGCCACCCAGGCAGCCCCCTGCCTCCCTCTTTAGCCACCTCAGGACCCTCTTTCCCTACCAGCCCCTTGGGACCTGGTTTAGTTCCTCCCCTGTACTTGCATTTTCCTACCACTGGGCCTTTGTACATGCTATTCCTTCTGCCTAGAAAGCTCTTCTCCCTCTCCTCACCTCTGCTTGATTGATTCCTGCTCAGACACAGGCCAAGGTGTTCCCTAGGACCTGTTACACATTCCCTTAGCACCTTTACTTCTCTGTAGCCCTTGGCTTATTGTAATTATTATTGTTGTTTGTTGAGTGCCTCTTCCCCACTGGGTGCCAGGGCCCACGCTGGCTGCCTCTGTGGCTGCTTTATGCCTCATGGAGTCCCTGGAACATGATGGGTGCTGGATAGATGGAGTGAGAATGAGACCCCCCAGCTTCGCAAGAGCAGAGCGTTCTGACCGATCTACTCAGTAACTCCTTTCCCACCCACCCCAGGTCCCAGATCTAGAGTGGCAAATAGAAAAGTAGTTATGAGTGAGAACTCTAGAGCCAGGCTACGTGGGTTTGTAGCTCAGCCTTGCCCCTTACTAGGTATATTTGTTCTGCATAGCACATCACCACCAACTTAGCAGTTTACGACAATTCACATTGCCTATCCCATGGTTTTCATGGTTCAGGAGCCTGGGCAGGCCTAGCTGGGTCCTTGGCTCAGGCAGCAGTCCAGGTGTCCTCTAGGATGAGGGTCCCCTGTGAGGCTTGGCTCAGGTCTCCTCCCAAGCTCTCGTGGTTCTTGGTAGAATTCATTTCCTTGTAGCTGTAGAAATCATAGCAACTTGGTTTTTCCAGGCCAGCAGGAGAGTCTGTCTGAGTTCAGAGAAAGTATAAGCCCTCTTTAAAATGCATACCTGGGGTGCTTGGGTGGCTCGGTCGTTAAGCATCTGCCTTCGGCTTATGATCCCGGGGTCCTGGGATTGAGCCCCGCATCGGGCTCCCTGTTCAGCTGGGAGCCTGCTTCTCCCTCTCCCACTCCCCCTGCTTGTGTTCCCTCTCTGGCTGTGTCTCTCTCTGTCAAATAAATAAATAAGATCTTAAAAAAAAAAAAAAAAGCATACCAGATTAGGTCAGGCCCACCCAGGATAGCATCTCTTTTGATTAACACACAGTCAACTGATTAGGGATCTTAATTACATCTGCAGAATCCCTTTGCCCTTGCCTTCTAATGTAATGTAACCACGGGAGTGATAGTCCATCATATGGCCAGGTCCTGTGCACATCAAAGGGAGAGAATTCCACAGGACATGCATACCAGGGTGGACAAGGATCAACAGGGACCATCTTGGATTTCTGACCACTCCTCTAACTGTGTGGTCTCTTTGTGCAACTGTTACCTCATCTGTAAAGTAGGAATAATGGCAGTACCCACTTCATAGGGTTTGCTGTGAAGATTAAATGAGTTAATTTATGTTAAATGCATAAAAAATTCCTGGCAGGGGGTGAGTACTCAGTAAATGTTAGCTGTTACAACCATAAAAATGATAATCCCCACCCGAGCCAGCGGCATCTAAGCTTAGAAATACAATCCACCAACCAACTGGCTGGAAATGAAATCTGAGAAGCCAGGCTAAAGGGGAAAGAAGAGAGGAGAATATCAACGAGCTTGGTAAATTACCTGTTTAAGAGGGAAGCTGACAGCTTCTTCTCCTTGGGGCAAAAATGGGCAAAGCAGATGGAAAACTGTATCAAGTTACTAAAGCAAATTGGATAAAGTGGGTGCATGTGCCCCCCCCATTTTATTTTCTTTCCTTAAAACATCTCAAGGCAAAGAGTGATGTTCTTGTCTCCCTGAAAAGCTTAGACATCCCTTAGATCAGGAATTTTAATCAAGATTGACATCGCACATATGGAGGAACGGACCCAACTGGATAGTTAGGCAACTTATGTAAGCAGTTGCACCCCACAATTTAGGTCTGACCTAAAGAACGGCTGTCTCCTGAAATGGGATCCTGGTTGGGTTCAGTTTAGAAAGAAGGGTCCCTCGTGACCCCAGGGAGACCCACAGTTGTGTGAACCCGTAGTTGGCGCAACATGGCTAGCAGGAGGCATTCATGGAAATTTGCTACGTGATGTGTGCAGGTTGCTGGAGAGTGTTAAGAATCAATTTGTTGCTCATTCTGGGATGCTGTTTACCGAATGTGGGAAGATGCAGCGAAGTGGGGTGGGGAAGCGAGTTCACGGTGGTGTGTTTATGAGCCCTGGCTGGTGGGGAGAGAAAGATGACAGCTTCTGTCTTTGGAAGGGAGTGGCTTCATTGAAATCGGGTCAGGTCGGGTCACCTAGGGCAAGTCATCCGCTCTTCTTTAGACCTCACATTTTGCATCTGATAATTCAACTCAAGTAATCTTATTGACAGCGTTAGTGGACACTTTTGGCACTCTGCCCAGTCCCCCACCGGTCCCCTTCCGCTGTCTGGGTGCCCATCCTTCAGCTTTTATGTGCTTGGGTTTTATGGCCACACCTGTAACTTGCTTCGGAGGCTGCATTTGGGCTACTGGAGTTGCTTCTCCCCTGCATGGAGATAGAGAAGAATCGAGCAACTTACCTCCTCCTGGGCAGCCCTTAACCTCAAGTCGCACAAGCTCAGAGGAGTAAAGTCATGCTCCTGAGCTCCCCACGGGATCGGGTGCAACAAGACCGGCATTAAGCCTGAAATTATATCCTTGCTGGGCTTCTTCATTTCTCCTATCTTCTTCCCAGAACCGGCTACATTATTTGCGGGGCCTCTGGTTAAAATATTATTAGGAATCAAGAGTCTCAAGGTGGTGACAGCAGAGCATTGCACCAAGGGTGACTTCTCACGTCACACCCCTGCCTTTCCAGGAGCATCCCTTATGCAAGTCCCTTGCACAGAATTCTTGTCTTGTCTGGATGGGTTCTAAGATGGAGCTGAGAGAGGAAAGATGCAGGCACAGGTCATCATGTCGCACAGCAGACTGTGCATTAAAACCCACTCCCGGAGGTGCCCACTGCGAGAGGTATGGCGGGGGGGAGGTGTGTCTGGGAGCTTGCAAGGGCTCCCGGTTCCAGTTTCTTTCTTTCTTCTGCCCTGGGAACGTGGTGTGTGCCCCAAGTGTAGGACAGAGAGCCTTGGGGGTGATGATGGGAGATGGAAGGGGGGACATAGCGTGAGCAGAGTTACAGGGGTGAGGCTTCTGCTGCTTTAGCAGGTGCCCATCGTGTGGCAAACAACGAAGTCCTTGCCCCCAAGTTGCCCTCCAGAGAGGCTTCTACCCAGCTCAGGTGGAATTCTGTGCAAGGGGAGCACTGCGCTGAAGGAGGTGGGAGAAAGTGCTGAATATAAGAGGGCATCTGGTCTTCCAAGAATGTACTGTTTGGTGTGAGGGGCTCCGAAACCACACCACAGAGAAAGGAGTCCCTGATAGGGGAATGTTGGAAATTGACCAGGGGTTGGGGTTGACTGTTTGGGGGGAGAGGGAGAACATCTGGAAACTACCCCTTGGTCTGCTCTGTTTGGTCCCCTAGCCTATCAGTTTGCTCAGATGAAATTGTTCAGTCCTCTTCCAAGTTTGTGGGGGCTCTGCTCTGAAAGGACCCCGGGCCCCTCAGTCACCCTCCAGCTACTTCCTGAGCTGGGCTGGTGACGGTGCTGTGCAGACAGCACCCACTCTTCCTCACCCCTCTCTGGGGAGCCCACTAACACCCCACCCGTTTCCCAGCATGCTGAAGCGATAGGTGACATCAAGGGGTGTCCCTACAAGCTGGGAAGTGTAGGCGCCGCCAGCTGTGGGCCTCCTGGTGAGCCCGGGGGGTGTTGAAACCCTGTTCTCTGGGGCCCCAGAAAACCCTTCTTTTTATCATCGGCTTTGTCAGACAGAGGCCATCCCTCATTTTCCACAGTGTGACCGCTGGTGGGGAGGATGAGCTCTCTTCCATTCGGGAATAAGTGCATAGATGCCACGAAAGCCTCTGGGCTCTGCCAGGAAGCAGGAGGAGGGGGCCGTCTTGTGTTTTGTGTTGCTTTCTCTTTCCAAAGCTTGAAATATTTTGCTGCTCCCTGAGTTCGAAGTGAGCCCTGACCGGTCATGGCTCGTCCTTCTTCTTGACAAATATCCCATTTGGGGCAGTAATTCATGCTTTCTTTACTGCCTTCTATTAAGCAATTAAAGCACACATTATTCTATGGATATATATCATCAAATGATTTTTAATTACTTAGTGGCCTTGGAAGGGGAAGAGCACAGTGAGGGGTGTTCGTCACATTTCCTCTCTCCCTCTATGGTCTTAATTTGGATTTCTTTTTGGGTGGGGGTGGGCAGGCTTCCCAGTCATCCCAGACTGTGGGTCTGCACCATCTGGCCCCCGCCTGCCCCTGTCCACACCCAGGGGGAGGCTTCCCAGTCCCTCTGACACTCCCGTCGCCTCCCCCAGCTCACTTTCCTTCACCCCGTAGCGCCTCCACAGTCTCGTATGCACTTCGTGTGGCTTCCTCCGGAAAGCCTTCCCTGTTGCCCCAACTAGCTTAGGTCCCCTCATCATGTGCCCTTACCACACCCTTCACTTTTCTTTTCTAGAACTTCATTCATTCAGCGTAGCTTTACCGAGCACCTGCTCTGTGGCAGGATCTGTTCTAGGCACTTGCGACATATCTGCGAACAAAACGCACAAATCCCTGCCTTCCTGGAGCTTGGGTTCCAAATTCATTGAGACCGTGACAGTGGATAATTATTTGGTGATTAGTTGATGGACACTGACTTTGATGCTCTGTGAGGACGGGGCCGTATCCGTCTTGTTGGCAGCAGTCTCTGTACTACCGTGTACCGTGAACCCCTGGCATACAGTAGGCGCACTTGGGGTACTTGGGGGAATGAATGGCAGCTTGTGATCTGATGGCTGCTCTTTGATTAACTAGGGTCTCTGAGGTGGTAGCGTCTTCCTTGGGAATCCAGATTTCATCATGTGCAATTAGGTTCTCAGGACTGGATTACAGCCCGAGTGAGGGAAGGTGAGGGAAGAGGCGCTGGTGCAGCCCCGGGTCTCCCAGAACCGCCGGGGTCTCCTCTGGGGACTGGAGATACTCCTCGTCCATCCCCTGCGATGCGCCCTGTACATCTTGTCCCATTTCCAGATCTCTCCCTAAGGATCTCTCCTCCATTCTGCTTCTCTGTGTTTTCACTCCTGCAACTTCTTGGGGTCATTTTATTGATGTGTCAAATACATATTTGCTGGGCGATTGTGACAGGGCTCTTTACCAGCCCCGAGGCCACCTCATTCAGGTGTCAAGACAGGTCTCCCCTGTGTTTGAAGATTGGTTGGGTGACTCTGTTTCACCATGTGTGTTTTTAACCCAGACCTGGCTGCTTCCCGCTCATCTGTCTTCAGAACAGGCATTAATCCCCTAGAAACCCTCTGTTGAAAAAACAGATCATCACCCCCTCAACAAGATGTATTCTCTCCATTTATCTCCTGAGGTCGTTCATTTGACGGCTCATTCATTCATTCATTCATTCATTCATTCATTCATTTATTATCACATGCAGGAAGGAGGTCAGGAGAGACAAGGAAAAGTATGTGGCATGAATGATGGCCCGAAGGCCTTTCCCTTGGGAGCAAAAATGCACTCAAGACCTGCCCTGCCTCTGTAGCCACCTCCACTCCTCTTTTAAATTTGATGGATCACAAAAGCCTTTCATTAGGTGATATCTGACCTGCAGCTGGGAGTCCAGGGTAACACGCTGAGGGAGCTCAACACCCCTGCCCCCAGGTCTGTGCTTTGTAGGTAGCAAAATTCTGCGAAAGACACCATGGTGGTGGTGGGGGGGGGGGGGCAGAATCTCCACGTTTTCAGGAAGGAAAGTACATTTTGACACTTGCATGAGCATTTCCAGGCCCCTCCCATCACGAATGCTACCGGGTCAGTTGGTAGCACGTGTCCATGGCTTCTAATCCTTTAAATATGCCCAGAGTCTTAAAAGGGCCGAAACTGCCAGTTACCTTACGAACCACCATCTGGTCCCCGGGGATCAGGGGGCGCGTGCAGGAGGCATCTGGCAGCACGAACACCTGGCAGAGTCACTTCAGCCGGATGATGTCGTTGAACAAGATGAGAAATGATTGTGTTGGTAGCTCCAGTTTGCGGATGTGTGGTGGGTTGACAGAGCCGCGGGATGCGCCTCGCTGCTGCGGGGGGAGGAGTATTAGCTGCATCTGAGGCAGTGGGTCGGGGAGCCCAGGGGCCACTTGGCTTGTGTGGCTTGGCGATCACACAGCCCAGAAGCAGCCGTGCTCTGCTCATCAGGCCGTCTTTGCGTTCGGCAGCTACCAGGGAACATCGTTCTTGCTGGTCCCCCGTGTGGTTTTTCATTCTAGGCAGGGTGGGCTGACTCAAGTACAGTTTTATAATACTACCCCCCTACTAAAGCACAGTTTTATAATGATGATGATGATGACAAGAGAGTGAGCACTTACTGAGTATGTATTATGTGCCAAGAGCGATACTTCTTTGTATGAGGTTCCACTTTGGGTTGTAGCCACGATCATTCCATTTTACAGATGGAGTCACTGAGTTCCAGGGACTGATCCAGGGTGGTACGGTAGAGCAGTGCCCTCCAGATCCAGATCCAGGCGGTTGGCCATCCCATGTCCTCATTTCTGTGCTGTTCAAGGTTTTCACGGATCCTGCCCCACTTCTCCACCCAATCCTACCACCTTCTACTCTGGCCAGACCGAGTTACTGTCTTACTTGAAGAAACATCATCAGCCACCCCTTGCTTCACAGAGAAGGACAGTGGTGTCCTGGAGAGGGGAGGCTGAGCCAGAGTAACATCCTGGGTCTCCGCCCTGTGTTCAGTTCTGTACCTTTGTTCTCTGTGTTCTCTCTGCCAGCCTGCGATGCTCCCCTGAAAAGTCTTTGGCTTTCTAGGCGTGCTCTGGGACCCTCCATCCCCGTGATACCTTTCATGGCCAGCTCAGGTAAAGAAGCAAGAAGGAGCGCCCTCTTTACTTTTCTAACACTCGAGTTTTGTGCCACTTACTTATTTAGTGGCATTGTGTGGTATTTAAGAGTGTGGACTTGAATCTTGGCTCTGCCACTTAGCAGCTGTGTGACCTTGGGCAAGCCATTAAGTTCTCTGTGCCTCAGTTTCTTCATGTGTAAAATGATGATGCTATTAGCAGTGGGGGTGTGGAGTAAGGGTCAGCTGTGTGTCCTGACCTGAACTCCTGCGCTCCCTAACCAAGATGGGATGGGAAAGGGTGTTCAATACCCACCACTCTCATGATAAAGGGAACGCTTGGGGCTTGGGGAGGGGGGATAGGGTGGGTACACGTGGTGCAAAGTTAATGTTGGGGTAACACAGAAAACCAGCTTATGTGTCCGCCAGGAATCCCCCTTCTTTTGACCTGGGCACTTTGAAGAGAAGGAGCTGTGGGGCATTTGTCTCCCGTTCCCTTCCTGTGTCACTTTGGTGGAAATCTCCCTGGAATAGGGGAAGGAAGTTTCTCTATCTGAACGGGTCCAGGTCTTACTTTTGTTGGCTGTAACTTGAGTTTTTAGCTTTTCCCCTCCTTCTTCCTAAAACCAGAAAGCCACCGGCAATCTTTAAAGAGCAGCAGCGGCTTTGAGTTTCACAGACCCCAAATACCAGCAGCAGGCACAGAGCCGGAGTGCTGCGCTCATGCCTTTTCTCCGCTGGCGCTCCAGCAGAGAATGTCTTTTCTA